TCCTTAGTTATTTATGCGTGGAGATATAAAATTAGTATTTACAGTCTTCTTTATTGGTTATAGTAGTTAGTTTAGCTTTAGCCATCTACATCGAAATCTATGCCCTTATTTTAATAGGTATTTGTTAATTTATGTCGTATTTATAATTACTTCTGCTTAAGTTAGGTTTATTCTAAATATATGTAGCTAATAAATACAAATTTAAGCAGGGCTAATAATGTTTTTGTTGTATTTGTAGTTGTAGTTGTAGTTAGCGTTATTATTTGTATTGGTTTTGTATGCCTATTTGCTGTAGTAAATAGTTGTAGTTATCCACTTTGTATTGATTGTTTCGTAAGTTGAACTTGTTTGCCGATTAAAAAGTTGCAAATGGTCAGATTAGCAAATATATTGCCGAAATTCTGCGTTATTAAGCTCTTGGAGCCAAAGCAAGAAAGCATAGGAACTTAGGGTTAAAATGCAGGAAATACCATCTCTATATTTCAAAGTTAAATATTTTTCTTTAAGTAAATCCAATTACTACAGAACTAACTAAGCAAATAAACCTCAGATTTTTATTAGATCTGGCGGGTCAGAACAACTACATATATACATATATATCCTTAATGCAGAGAACTATATATTAAAATTTTTTATCAAATGAAATATGAATGAAATATGTAAAATATTTGCATACATAATAATTCTGAACATTATTGTAACTGACTGAGGTTTAACTGCCGAATTTGTGTTAAACCCCCCGCTGTGAAAACGGGACTGAATCTTCCGAATTTCCAACCCACTGTAATGCTTGTGTTGCAGGCAATAAAGCCACAGACTATGTAATTAAATAGATAACAACAACGACGAATGGTACTGTAGAATATCGAGTATTTCTATAAACTCTGCGATAGTTTCATGTTAATCTGTGTAGGAAATGAAGAAGCAAACATTGCTTATGATAGCTAATTGGCACCCAAAGCACCCATTATGGAAATGTTGGTTTCCTTGAAAATTGTTGATGATTATCTCGTTTCTATTGCGGATGCATTTAAATCCTACCTTATTAATTTTGTTTGTCTGTCCCACAGGAACTGCAGGAACTGGGTGGGAATCCCATCCCACGAAGGCGCTATCTTATTCTTGTAAAGCTCGATTTAGACTCGAATCTCTTTATGTATAATGGAAATGCAATGAGAGTATATAGAAAAGTAGCCATCAGCGTCTTCAGATATTTTTAGATATTTTATTTTCCTTAACACATACATGTATTATCGAGCCCTAAATTTTAATTTTTATGCAGAAACTTATCTAGATACTCTGGAAACATTTCTGCATCAAAAGAAAATTTGGAACGAAAATTTGCGATATGTGTCTGTTAAATTTTTTTTTGAAACAAATGTGTTTAATGGACAGATAAATTTTAAAAGCTACTTGATAAAACGGCGCTAAGTACCATTTCAGAAGAAGCTGTCATTTAATTCGGCCTAGCTTAACCAGAGGACAACAATTGTCAAATGATTACAACAACTCTTTACCAATTTACTGTAAATGAGAGATAATTCTAAGGTTAAAAACCCACCTGGTAGCAGATATTAATAAATTTAGCCAATCGCTCAGTTGGCAGAGGAAAAATACATTATTTTAACGGCGTATCAAATTTGCATTAACTTTTGGTCATTGATTTTGTTTTTTTGCTAATTACTGGAGAAGTACCCTTCAGCGACCTACCAACTGAATTTGGAACCTAGAAGAATATTGTAGAATCCCCCAAACTTTGGTCTAAAATTTCCCCCCTGAAACAATCAAGTGTCGCTTTCGGAGTAGTGAAACCCCTTTCAAGTAAATTCCATTACATTCGCCGTCATTTACCTGCGAGAAGCTTCTAAAGCGGCTGCGAATCTTTACTGCAGGTAAGAGACATATTCATTTCATATTCATTGCCCATAGGAATGCCTTTGGAAAAATTCCTATACAAATATGGCCGGCGTGCTTAGTTAAACTAATTGCTGCCATTTTAACAATTTATTGCCTGCTATTTGCACCCAACTTAATATGGAATTCTTATCGAAATTTATTTAATTTATGTAAATAAATAATAAATTTCCAGTCCAAATCTAGATATAATTGACCAAATATCCCAGCCATTTGCAACATTTTAACTCATTTTCTATTGCATTTGTATTTGTAGGATAGTTTTGTGTATGTATGTATGTTTAGTTTCATTTGCCTGCAGCTGTTCTCGCAACTAAATACTGCTCAATAACCTTTGATATAAATATTGCTTACACCATAATATTGTTTGTATGTATATGTACTTAGTATGTACATAACGTACCTACTAACGTCTTAAGAACTATTTATTTGTATGTATGCTCGTACTAAATATTTAGTATGAATGTGTGTCGCTACTTTTTTATCATTTTAATCGAATTTATTTATGCATATCTAATAGTTATATATGTCTTGCTACAAAGTAATATTATCTCATATGGAATACATACATATGTACATACATGCGTACCTATGTAATTCGTTATTCATGAGTTCTTATGTAGTGGTAATATGTTGGTTTTCATTTATGTATTCATAACCTACTTGTTAATGCTATCTATTTAACTATCTGAGATGAATTGCTTGAATGAATGAGCTGATTATTGCACGCAATGACATACATACATACATATGGAGAAATATTTAATGCGAATGCGGCTAAATGAATTATTGAATGTTAATAAGAATGATGGCAAAATTGCTGAATAAATGATTGCAAATGTGGATGATTGAATGAATGAATGAATGAATGAGAGCATTATAAGCATTGATGTTGCAAGCATATTTAATACATACATACGAACGAACATATGTACATACATTTATGAATGCGTTGCATTGAATGAGCGTTTAAATACCGTTAAAGCGTAAATGTGTAGTAGTAGGCATACGAATATATATTTAAACATAGACAGAGACAAAGTGTGGGAATACAGTATGAGTTGAATTGAGAAGCGTATGCAGTCACGTAAATAATTTTAATACTATATGTGTATGTATGTTTGTATGGAAATAGTTGAATTAATGAAAGAGATTTTGATTACGGCAAAATGCAAAAATATTTACGGACCACATATGTATGTGCACTCAATGCTATTTACAAATTAATACTTCTTACGCTTCCAGTAACTAAGGCAAAGAATTGTAGCTTTCGAGCCCAATTCTATTCTTCTTGCTCATTTGCTTCTCTGTATGCACTTCCACTAGGAGAAAGGATTTAATGAATTGCGTGGAAACAGGTAGTGAGTGCATTGGATTTTAGTGGTTTGGTTTGTGGTTGGTTGGTGCAATGCATCTTGGACAAGTTATTGGAGGCAAGCAGTTCGATTGGTTAACTTCAATGAGGTTTAGAAAAAAAAACAAGAAATTGGAGGACAAATAAATTAAAATATAAATATACAAATAAGTGTTTGGGTAGGATTGCTAGGACTTTGAAAAACTCAAATGAGTTTAACATTTAGTTGAAAGCACTCATTTTAATGTAGATCCAGAACCCAGAACCCAGGACCCATGATCAGTATAAGTTTACGTGTTTCTTAGAGATCTTTTTATACAGTGTAATTAATGACATAAATGTTCTCACTTAACCCAGACGACTGCTTGCCTCCGTGTTGTTGAATTGACTGCGATTGGGGTTGTTTTGACTATGGTTGGGTTTGTGCAATAATTTGGTTAACTTTTCTCTACAACAAATTACATTCTTCTGTTATTTATGTATAGTTATTTAGTCTGCTAATTTTTCGCTTTTACTTTTATTTAAATATTCACTAATTTATTTCACATATAATTTTGTCTTATTTATCCGAAATATTTGCATTACTTTTTTCTCTACTTTGATTTACTCTTTGTTTTCATTTACATAAAAAATTCACACAAAAAAAGCAAAAGACATTTAAAGCAAACGAAGGAAAAAATTTCTAGAAAAAACTTAACTAAGCAGCGTTTTCTGCATTTTCCGCACCGCATACCAACAAAAATTTTCGAAAAATTTCCTCAACTTTTATTGGTTTGTGTGGAAAGTGCTATGTCGCTTTATTCACACATTACATACATACAAATTTGTTGATGTTTGTTTGTTTGTTTTTAATAAGGAATATCGACGTGCTCATTTTGTTGTTGTTGTTGTTGTTCTTCTTCTTCTTCTTGTTTTCGTATTATTTTGATTTTCGCTTAAATTTTGCTGTTGAATTGTGTTTTCGTGGTTGCTTTGCAAAAAACATGCCACACTGCTATTAGAGGAAGCATTGTGTTTGTTGTTGTTGTCGTGTTTTTTGCACTAGCGGAAACACAAATTCACATCAATTTAAACACACACATTTAATGTACAAATATACGCGTATTTACTTATGTTTTGTAATTTTACATTTTTCACTAATACAATTACGGTTAAATTTTGAATTTTGATTTAAATTTTTTATTTTTTTTTTCCAAAATTTATAATTTTTGTCCTATAATTTATATGCCTAAAGTTTTGAGTTTTATGCCAAAATGGTGTTTGCTCTATGTATAAAATGTTTGCGTATGGGATGCGGAGCACATATATATTTATTAGGTGGTGTGCGGCTGAAGATTTAAAATTGAAAAGTTTGACAAATCAAAATGATTTTAAGAAAGTAATCGATCAATCTACAAAATCGATTTAAGGAATACAAATGTCTGGCCGTCATAACCGCCCGCACACCACCTTTTCGAGCGAAGCCCTCTCCGCCACCCCTCCGTCGCCTGGTAAATGTACATAATTTTTGAGGTCGTATAAGCTTTTTCTTGTTTTTGTTTTTTTTAATTGCTTTTTGCACACCAATACACACATGTATAAACAAATTCGCTGTTAAATTCCTTCCGTATTCTTTCTGAAAATTTTCACTAAAAAATTCGCTTAGTTTTGATTTTGCGCTTTTCTAGAATAATTATTAAAAAAAAATTATAACTAAGAAAAAGTTATGTTTTTCACTGCAGAGCTTTGATTTAAAAAAAATTTTTTTTTTTGAAAAATTCAAATTTTTAGATGTACTGTTATTGAGGGGAAGGAAGAGGATTGTATAAATATTGGTGCTTGGAAGAAAGTGCTTTTGTGTGAAAGGAAGTCACGGGATTTTTATTTTTTTTTAAATAGTTTAACTACCGTATGCTTTTCAAAATATTTTTCCACTAGAGAAGCAGCATTAAATCCGAAGCGAAATTTATTTTGAAAAGCAAAGCAGTTATCAAATTACAAATTGAGCAATTAAGTTTACCACTACATTCCTAACGTAATAAATACTCTTAGATACACAATCCTTAATACAAATATCGCTTTTACTTTCTGTTTCTTTTTTATGGTTTTTAATCGATTGCACTTTTAAAGTAAAAAATAAAAAAAAAACAGCTAGTCGAATGCTTCAGAAATGAAAGCAGCTGGCAGTTTGTGCAAAGATAAATGGAAAAAGTGGTATTTCTTGGCGTTGAGCATATCAAAAGCTTATATAATTCAGGTCAAACAACGGACCTTAAGCTCTCACAAAGCTTTCCTAAAGTCCCACGTTGAAAGCGATTCTCAGTTCAGGGATATATTTTCCCCTAAGCGACCTTTTGTGCAAAGGAAAGAAGATGAGGTCCTTTAAGGCTGTTTGCTGCTTTCTACAGGAATATGGCTGTGTTCTATATTGGAACTTCCACTAACTACAACACCTTGGGGCTTCTGCCATCGCTAAACTCTGGCTTACACATTCTCCGATCTTTGTTGAAGTCTCCGAAAGTAACACAAAGTCAGTATCTGTAGCTTATATCCAAAACAACGGTGAAAGTATTCGCAGCTCTCTCTGGAGAAATATACCACGGCATACCAAGCCATCGACTACGTGGTGGAAATTTGTTGAGGAGGTAATTAAAGCTCAGCTGTACTCAAGACATTGCCTACTCCGTTACCATTTTTCAGGCTAAGCGAGCATTGCAAGCTTTGAAATTATGTTCGTAGGTATATTAATCTTGCTTCTTTTGGGTGCCTGGTTGCACTGGAGTAATTGTTACAGAGATATCTAACCTTATCGCATTAGGGTTAAGGAAACCTATTCCCTGATCCGCATCTAGTGTTATTACTCCTATTTTCAGCCATAGAAGTGCCTTTGGAAATGTGTGAGTATTAAGCTCAGCGATAACTTGGAGTCCATGAGGGTCTGCAGGTGAGCAAAACTTACGTTTTTTTCAATCTCAGAAATTTTAGCTACATACATGTGTAGGTATCTGGTATACGACTTCATTGAGGAGATTAAAAAAAATGGGGCGGCGGTAGACCTTGTGGACTTCTACCTTGTCACCGCAAAGATGAATGATTAGAAAAAATCGGCCGGAAATAAGTTCAACCATCACTCATAATTGATCTAGAGCAGATGTTTCTTTTTGTTTTATATGGGCCTTGTTGAAATTTCGTTTGCCTTCTTTTACTCTTTTCTGAGAATTTAACATTGGAAGGAAGCTCCTGCCAACTGCTTTCATACTTACTTATCATTTGAGTATTAAAATGCCCTAAAATTATTTATACAAAATGCTTTCGACTCTGCACGCTACAACTGCACAACTCACTCAAAACTTAGCTAAATCTATTCAGATCTTATACACATTTTCCATATTCACACCCTCACACAGAAGCTGTCAGTTGAAATTTCTAGTAATTAAACTTGCACAAGCACATTCAAATTATTACACGCTGGCACACATACAAACTAGTTACGCATTCGTAGAACAGAACACTCGCTTAATTGCTTAATTGTAGCAAATTCAAACGCAAATGAATGCAATCAACTGACTGTGAATAATGAATTATGTAATTTTATGCAATAATTATACTAAACTCTACGTATGTATATGAGTTCGAGAGAGCGCCTCAACTACCGTCGGCACCACCACATTTAACGTGGCATCACACAAACGCATAATTTTGCAACGAATGACTATTTAGAATGAATATCGATTTGTAGCCTAAATGTTAATATATGTATGTTTTCGGGTGCAAGTGCACTCATATTTATACTAAATATTTGTTTGTTTGTTTGTACAGCTAAATATTTATGTTTGCTTAAATGTAGGCATGTCTATCGAAAAGTTGTTGAAACGAGAACATCCACAATATTTTTAAATCATAAATGATTAGTTTGCCGCCTAATTGCCGTCTGTAGCTTAATTTACATATTAGTTGTAGCCTTACATTAATGCTGCTTACTTTGCTAAAGGTAATATTTTTTTCCCTCCTTCTCAAATGCATTTATCCGCATTCCGTTTAGTGTGTGTAACTTAATTCCTGTTTTAATCTCAATCAATTCATTTTGTTACTCATACGCCCCAGCACCCCTTTTTTGCTGACTGACCGGCGCGCCCACACGTTTCGTACTCGCCTCGTACTCGCCTACATTCACTTACACTTTGAGCGCGTTTCTCGAGCAAATCGCCGGATTGCTACACACTTCCTCCACGCCGCGCTCGTACTGCTCCTCACCCTCTTCATCGCTGCCGCGCTGATATGCCAGTGACGTCGCACCTTGCGCCCCAGCGCCACAGGCGTTCCGAGCGGCTTCCGTGGCTTTTCGTGTCGCCACTTTGTTGTTAGCGCGCGCAGCTAGCACGGCAGCGGGCGGCAAGGACACTACAACTGCATGCAAGCCATCGCCATCGCTTATGAGCATGTCCTTGTCGGTCAAACGCTGCTGTGCCACCGAGCACCTGTACGCGATCAGCACCAAGGTGATCATGAAAGTACCTGCGATCAGCCCAAAGAGCAACGGCTTCTGCAAATCGGAGAGCGTGGCAATGGTTAGTACATTTATGTCAGGCTTCTGTAGTGGTTCGATGGCGCTGATGTCGCTGTTCTTGGAGTGCCAATTGAAAATGAAATTTGTGTGCTGATTCAGAGTCTCCGCCGACTGATCTTGGTCGTCGTCGTGTTCGTCGTACGGAAGCACCGCAGCATTGTCCACTTCGGCAACATAACCCTGGGAGTGAGAGGCAACAGCAGAATCATCGTCCCTGTTAGGGTGTTCAGGTGCATTGTTGTTGACTTCGTGTGGTAGTTGTTGCTCGTGGTTGAAGAGTTTGCTGCCGACAGTTGTTGTGGAAGTTGAAGTAGCGTCGACGTTGGGCGATTGTGTTTTGTGTTGAGCAGAATTATCGTGGGCATTCACTGCTTCGGAGGTGTCAATGCTCAGTGGCAGAGAACGCGACATGAAACCGGTGAGCTGAAAGGAAAGAAGAAAATGACATATATTTAGAACATTAGTAGACAGTCTGCTATAGAATGGTGTCACATATCTGGACCCTATTTGTAAGCTGTACGAGTATAAAAACACTAGTTGCCAATTATAAGCGGTACGTGTAACCTCTTTGCCCTGCACGTCTTTCAGAATTTGCAAGCGCCATGGTTCTGCGTTATTTTCTTCCTAGAGACATAATACGATAGCTAAAAGTATAATTGGTTTCAAAGACCCACTAAAAAAGATCTTATAAGTATACAATTCCGGGCTCCATTGAAAATGTTGACTTCAGCAAAGCCAATCTGCAAACAGGCTTCTAAATTAGTTCACATTTATACTTAGCTGGAAAAATAAATTCAATTCGTCATCCAATTAATATTAAGCGGCTTTTCAGAGAAACAATATTATGGCAATAAAAACGGTTATACATGTTTAGTAATCGCATTTATTTGGACGCCATTTTGCTGTTAATTACAGCGAAAAACGCTGTATGCCATTCAACGGCTATTGAATTTTCACTCGCACACAACTATTATGATTTATTGCTACGCAACTGCGCAACGAATTTAGTTACATATTTCCGATTTCTCGCTAAAAACACTTAACTTAGACGCCTAAATAATTTGGGTGAATGATAAGCAAATTCTAGCAGTATGCTGGTGGAATAAGGGGAATTTTAACCAAGGAATGAAACCGAAACCCAAACCGAAACCGTAACCGTTTAAAACCGTTTCGTTTTTCAAAACCGAAACCGAAACCGTAACCGTTATCTTGACCTGAAAAGGAACGATACGGAAACCATTTCAATCACAGGTTTCAATCGGTTTCCAGAAATTTACAAAAATAATAAATACAAATTTCTTTGAAATAAATGATTTATTTAACCAAAATCAGCAACATTTTGCTAAAATTCTTGTTAAGTAGTAAATAAGTATGGCAAGGTAACTTTTCGCAAAAATCTACTGATGACTTTGTTGTTGTGAATCGATAATCGATTAATTATATTTAAGTAGTTTCTTTCCCGTACGCAATGCGAGATCCCGCGTGTGCCCAAAATAGCCCAGAAACCATTCCTGTACTCAACAAAATGGGTAATAGAGAGCGAAAATTCGAGCGTATTCGATCGTAAGTGTATTCTTCTTCCTGCCCGAAACAGCCCGAAATTTTCTCCGAGTAAAAATGGATAAAGTGTCAAAGTGCATATCAGCTGTATTGTGTTTACATGTTGCCTGCATTTACTTGGTGCTCTTAAGGAAAAGTGAATGGCCTGTTGATGTATTTTCAATCTATGTACTTAAAATCAAATGTGTGAAACCAAAATTCAATTTCCAACTGTTTGCATTTAGTACCATGTTCTGACCGACAACCAAAACATTTTCCTTCATTTTCTTTTCATTTACAACCTTTAACTTTCATTCTTATTTTACTTTGGCCAGGCAATTAACAATAAATCCGAAATGGCGTATTAAAGATGATAAAATATGACTTCCACTTCGATAAATAATCGAAAAAAACTACTTAAGACACCGATTGGAACGAGTGGAAAGTGAGTTTTCAAGTAGTTTTCAGCGAAAACTGGTTTTCGTTTAACAGATTTTATATGGACGAAAACACAAGTTTTAGGTCGAAAACCAGTTTTAGCAACGAAAACATGTTTCCGATGTCGGTCAGAACATGGTATAAGTGACAAAAACAAGAACATCGTGAATCAGCTGTTTCTCGACTTGTGGGCACGAAATGTGGGTTTTTGCGTTTCCGTACTTCTAAACTTTGTTCCATTTTTGAAAGAAAATGTTTCTCTTATTCTCTAATTACCAAATCCGGTCCGGATTGTTAGGGAAAGAACCTAGTGTTGATATTATCAGTGAACTGTAATTTTCGATTTTCTTTCCTCAACGTTTAAGACATTGTGATTTAAATAATATCAACAAAATTTCTGTGTAAAACCGAAACCGGAACGAAACCGAAACCAAAACCGAAATAAATTTTGAAGAACGAAACCAAAACCGAAACCGAAACACTTGGCAAAACCGAAACCCAAACCGGAACGTTATTTTGAATCGGTTTCATTCCTTGATTTTAACCACAACAGTTATCTCTCTCTCTCTCTTCTGCAATTCAGTGTTGATGCTGCAAAACGGCGAGCCACTAAGACTGGCATCCATATACACATTTAGGTAGCATATACATATGTAAGGTAGTTGGAGGAGCGGACAAACTTATTCACACATAAATTGAAGGAAAAATTTTCTTTAGCGATCTTACCGCCAAGCTCAATTTTAATCAAAAATACCAACAAGTTGTAATCGTCGTAGAATTATTTTAACTATACTAAAGTATTTGAATTCATACGTTTTAGGGTAATGTACAATGATATTTATTTTCGAGGTTAACCAATAAAGATGAATGATAATGATTACTGCAAGAGTTTTATTTTTTTCACTCAAAGAATATTATTATTCTCGATTTTTTGTTTTTTTTTCGCTCAACAATGACAATTATACAGGTTTACAAAAAAAAAGTGTATGCATATTAAACCAAACCTATAGATCCCTATGTTATTCAGGTCATATTAAGATTTTGTTATTTCATATACCTGTACTGTTGTTAAGAGTTTTAAATTACATAATTATTTTGGATTAAAAAAATTAAACTAATTAATTAAGCTATTTAAGCGCTTAACTATGCTAAATTCGTTGTACAAATCAACTAAGATTTTGAGATCGGAACCTTCAATTTATAAATTTCAACTTTGAAGTTTTTTCTAATGAATTTTGGTATTTTGAGAACTTTAAATACGGTGTGTGTTTTGCAAAAAATCTACCAAAGCTACACCTTATTTCAACATGATTCAGCATGGTATGGAAAGATGCATAAATTATTTTATTATTAGTTATTGTTTCGAACGTTATTTTAGTTAGTTTTAGTTAGTTATTTCGAACGAAAATATAGTTCAGGGGTCAAATATAGCGCTAGAAATTACTTTAAATGATCAATTCAACTCCTTTAAAAATTAATTTTTCTTGCCCATAAAAAATATTTATTCAAATCTTGTACTCACCTTATTTTTGCAGGTGACTTTTACGCGATATTTGGTGTCCGGCCATAGCGATAGCTGTACATTCGATGACTCCGTCAAGAGGTTGCCCATTAAGCCGCCGCCGGAAACCTCCCAGCTAATCAAACACTGATTGGGCATATTCAACGCTTCCCAGGCAATATCGACGAGCACTAATGAATCCTGTTGCAACATGGAAACTGTATGCAAGGACCAAGTCTCCTGAATGGATTTATTTATTTTTGACGATGGCTGTGACTGTTCTTTGTATTGATGTTGAAGCGGCCTCTCGGTGACTGGCGTTACTGTTGTAGGCGCAACATTTGTTGTAGTTGCAGCAACGGTGGAAGGTGGTAATGCACAATTCATGTAGCACTGGAAAATAAGAAATTAGGAAAAAAATTAATAAGCCATTTTGGTTAATTACTTTGTATTTAAATTTTTTTTAAATAGAGAACTACTACACCTATAAATAACGCTAGTTTACAACATGAAAACTGCATCTTTAGAATATATTTTTTTAGCTAACTTGGAACTGTCGAATTTTTTTTTTTTTATGGAAAAAAATTTGTAATGCAATCAGGAAAAAAATTATTCAAAATCAACTCGCTTTTTTAACAACTTAAAAAGTTAAAAGTTTTGCTGAAACTTTGCAGATTTTTCATAATTTTTGCACAGGGTTTGAAATCTGGATTTATATGGTGTTTGTTATATAATGAGCTAGACTTTTATGGAAAAATAATAAACATTAAATAAACCAAAGCAAAATAGCCAAAATTTATCAAAATGTTGCTGGCTTAGTTAGCTGATCACAAGTGTACATACATCCGTAGAGTATATATTTTTGTATCTTCAGCATTTTTAAATAGAAACTTAACCTCATTCCTCGGAAATCATTATCAGAGATTTAAAGCGTTCTTAATATTTGTATGCCTAGAACTACGCAAACGCTGGCATGTACATACATATGTATATTAATGTCCCTCCCAATTGAATCCCTGGATATCTACACATGTTCGTACATACAAATGTGCAACTTTTGAATAGACTTTCACACAAATTCACATTTACTTCCTTTCGATAACAAATGAGCGCGCCTTCGGCCGTACGCAATAAAACAAAATGAAAATATGTAAGCGAAAAATATGTTTTCATATTTGTTTTTGAGCTAATCTCGAAATTTGTTTTTGGTTAATGACTTATTGCCTGCAGCATAGCATACAAAGCAATCAGCGGATGTGAAATTGCCACTGTCGTGTTGGCCCCGCCTGCACCTACCCCCGCAGCTACAAGGCGCTCCACAGCACTGGTGTTGTATTTCATCCTTTCACGTACTGTTCGCAAATTGCTTGCTGCTGATTTCTGCAAACACATGCAGCCCCTCCGCGCAGCACCTGCTTCGTCAGTCAGCCCCTACAAACAAGGCAATCTATGAGGCAACAAGCACTGTTATCTGCAGCCCCCTTGCTGGCTGCGGACGTACATATGTATGGCATGTTTTTCACATGATCATATATCAACTTTTATTAATTCGAATTGCTTTCGCGTAGCGCCGATTTCTGGTTGTCTTGCGATGCAGCACTGCTATGAAATCAAATGTATGCATTTGAATGCATTAGTGTGTGTGTGTGCGAACTACCTTATCCAACTATCTGCCAAAGCCCTACCTGTATTCCAATCACACACTCTTGGCATCCCATCCCCATCACGCCGAGTGGCAGGCAACCCAGTTAAGCCATTCATTTTGCCTACATTCAGTATTCATTTACTTACATACATATTTGTTTATTTATTTACCTACTTGTGTTCTTAAGCAAAGCTTGGTTGCTTCCTCTTCCTTCCACAGTTGTTCACTGCTCATGTATCTGTCTTGTATGCATGTATTTATAAAGCTCTGCTTATGTCTTTCTGTCTGTTCGACTGTCTCTGCTTTCTTGTACGTCCGTTTGTCTCTCCATTCGCTAGCATGCTTTTTAGCTACCTACGTTCGTTTGTTTGTTTGCTTGTGTGTTCCAAGCTTGTATGGCCTTAAGTTGTGCTCGTAAATCGTCTTTATTACGATTATGTTTGTTTATTGCAATAATTTATGTGATTTGCGGTTTTTGTAGCTCGCCAATTTACGTTTGTTTGCCTTTTCCATGTTTATTTGTGTAGTGTGTTTTGATTTTGTTTCTCTTTTTTTTTGGGGTTTTGACTGCGTATTTTAGGGTTTTATCTTCTGCGGCTTTAACTCTGGCTTTTACTTCAATACTATTCGTTTTATATTTACTTATTTATTTTCCAGTTATTTGATACCTTTTGCAATGTGGCTTTTGTATTTTAAGAACGTACACTAATATAAACAAAACATGAATATTTGTCGCATATTTACACATTTGCTAAGTGTTTGTTCGATCTTCTTCTCGAGCAAAAAATCCAGATAGAAACGCTGTCAAGAAAGAGATTGCAAACAAACGATTTAAATAAAAATAAAAAAAATAAAATTTTTCTTAGTTTCCTGAACCAAGTTTTCATACATCCGGGGTAAAAACAGACGAAGCTTCCAATTTGTTTGGCAGACCATCTGCAGGAAAACTTGCAAAAAGTATTACTTCAATTATTTTTGCCTGACCTGGCTTAATGTTACTATGGGAAAGCAGTATTAGGGAAATTTCGCTGAAATAAAAATAAAATTAGCAAAACAAAGGACGAACACCTTCAAGCATTGGATAGGATGTAGTCTTCATCAGCAGTCATCGGGGCACGGTTGCCATTCCAGCAAAAATTTACCATTTGTTGTAAATTTTTTCCAGTTTATTCACTGGAACATAATGTTCAAATTTGTTACATTTTTGAAGTCTGGTAAAATGAGATAACTATTACCTACGCCAAATAACTTGTCAAAGACCAATCCTTTGTGTGAAGGCCAAATACACATCTACTATTACTGCAATCCATAGTCTAACTGAGAAAAATGAGTAGTCATGAGATCCTAAATAGACTTGACGTGTTTGCCTATGCAAATAAGCTAGCTATATATCTACATGGTGGACTACAATGAAGATAATATTACTTCTAGATTGCAGGACGCCTTAAAACTCACTCAGAAGTAGTGCACTGAAAAGTATCGGTCAATAAACCCACTAAAGTCCACAATTATTCCCTTCCAAGCCAATTCGACGCAGAGTGAGTTATGGTAAGAGGCGAAGAATCTAGAGATAATCCTTCACAAAAGACTAACAGAGATTGTATGGAGATATTCACAAAAAAATATATATTTTTTTTTGCATTAAAATCTAAAGATAAAACTAAACTAATAAAAAAAAAATAAAAAATAATAATAAAAAATAAAAATTAAAAATCCTCTACGCCCGAGGAGTACTCCAACCCGGACCCTCTCGACCGGCAGCCTAATGCTTTGACCACTCGGCCATTGCGACTCTTCGGGCGGCGCGGCAAAAGGCATACATAAACGCTATCTGTTGACTGTCTGTGTTTGTTTTCACCACACATTTTTGGTGAAATTTTTGTGACTCTCTCCTACTGAATAGCCAAATCATCTCAAGTCACAAAAGTAGTCACTAATTGCTAATCTCAAATTTAGTGACTTGAGATGAGAGAGAATTACTGAATCCCAGGGTAGGTTTGATATTTAAGGGACCAATGAGCATTCAGTGGAATCAGAACTCTCTAAAACACCTATGTTCTTTTGTAAAATGTCCACTAAGTGCCTCTGCACAAGGGCATTACTACTCCTTTATTATCATTTGGTGTGTTTAATTTTTTAGAAATATTTTTTGGTGGCTTTGAGGAGTCTTAACTATTCATACAACCAAAATAAGAATGCTGGTTTATCGATGAGTAAATATTGTTGATTCTAAATGCATGGAAATTCTTCTAAAAACCATTAAAATCTGAAATTCTAATTAGCCCCAGCTGGAGGCGAGTTTATGTCTAACAAACAAGAATGAATCAGTGACAAACGCTAGGCATTGCTAAATAAACATAAATAGTCATTAATCTTCGCTAAGTGCCTAGACCCAAACATCTGACCTCAAATGCATAAACTCTTAAATATTACTGTGAAACTGCGAAAATTCCCAGCCACAGCTGAAGTCGGATTCTCAGCTCAGCTGCAGTTGGTGTAGACTGCTGCTTTTGGCATTCACTTGTGGCATTCACTTTTAATTTTTCACTTATTACTTATGCCGTATTTGCAGGCGGAAAAAATTAATAATAATATGTAGTTAACTGAAAATAATAAGCTGCTGAGAATTCGTGAATGGAGCACTCGGTGTGGTGCGATATACATATGTATATACATATTTATTCTCTACCTGCGCAGCTGTGCCACTAAATCACACAGTCACCCGCGCAGAACGCACCAGCGATGGATCTCAGCATGCCGACACGTTTGCTAGTGGAGCAGCAAGTGTTGAAGCGTTGAATTGGCTGACGATGTGGAAGAGCGGGCCTAGAGACAGAAATAAATGAATGCATACACATACGGCGAGCAATTTTTAAGCATACACATATGTATGTACATATACGCAACATGACTCTGGACGATGTGTAATTGTGTTGGCTAACCAAATGAAATGCAAAAATTTTAAAAGACAAAATCATAAAACAAACTGACCAAAGCTAAGGCTAGTGCAGTAATAACAATGACAGCGCGCCACAGTACGCGCAATGGACGATAAACAAATGGCTGGCGTTGGCGCTTCACCGGTCCACCAACTGTGCGCTGCCTCTCCACTGTCCGCTGGTCTCAGTCTCCGCACAGCCTTCGGGGGGGTCCATTTGCCTGCTGTTGGTTGACTCGCCTTGTTTGCTATTTAGCTATAGTTGTGCAACAAGCTGTGATTACATGCATGAAAACATACAAATTTACATACACATGTGCCTAGTCAAAAGTAACAGAGCATCTGCTGAGATTTGTGCAGCCCAAAAGCACGCCTTCACCAACAACTTTCAAAGGTATACAGCGGGATTTATTAACGTAAAACGTAGGAAAAATCCCAACAAGTACATACGGGCTGGAGCACCAAGATACTCAGCGCAACGGTAGGCAACGACAACAACAATAGCAACAAAACGCAATAGATATGACTGCATGTGAAAAGAAAAGTAGTAAATCGTTAGTAAATATATTTAAAGTATTAACAATATTTGCCAACGTGCTGTGCTGCGCCAACTTAACTGCAGCCAGCCAACCAGCCAACCAGCCAGCTGCTGGTTAAATGAGTTGACTCTGCGGTCGGTTATTTATGTACCAACACACATATCGCTAGCTTAGAGTTAAAAGTTGCTAACTCCCAATTTAAAAATTTTACAGAAGAGGAAAAAAAATCGTATAGCCAATTTCTTCAAGTATTTCGCAAAACTTTGAATAT